GGGGCAAGAGAAGAAAGAGGCAATACATATTTTATGTAACGATAGAATATGCCACGACCATGACCCAGACCTTTTCTATAGGCCTACATACCTTCACCACACCATCACCTACATAGATAGACCACAGACAGTCAGTCGACCCGGTCTTTGCCCAAGCACCATCACATACATAGATAGATACACCACACCATCACCTACATAGATAGACCACAGGCAGTCAGTCGACGCGGTCCTTGACTGAGCAAGCATGAGAAGGTAGAGAGAGAGATAGCTACATGTATGTTGTAGTCGTGTATTTATCTAGATATATCTAGCTGTCTTGTTCTGCACAATTTCTCGATTAAAGGATTAACCACCAGCACTGCTTTTTTCCAAGGTAAGTTGAAGATAACTTACTTTGACTCCTTCTAATAAAATAATAATTATCACCACCATTACTACTACTACTACTACTACTACACTACTGCTACTGCTACTACTATTGTTATTATTATTATTACTATCATCATTATTATTATCCTCATCAAAAGTCCTCCTCTTCTTCTTAAATTAATATTTTTCTCCTTCCTCCAAATCAAGCAATTAATCGTAACAGTAACAGGCAATTTTGTCTCACTCCGGCTCGTTTGTTTCGCAGACGTGGTAGGTAGATCTATACGGTACTTGTACTTTTCCAATTTGGAGAGACGATGTCATTTTCGACGTCCTATCTGTTTCGGTTTGGAAAACCCGCTCTTAACTAATCATCACGAACTATCTTGTCTAGATTTAGGCGTTTCGTTTATCATTAATTTCATACGAAATGATGCGGTCAAATATATAATGGTGGAGAGTGTTTGTCAGTGTCTGGGTAATAATGAATAGTAAAGCGCATAGAGCCCACACTCAAGTAGGATATCCTCCTCCTCCTCCTCCTCCTACTACTACTAGATAGCATTTGCGTAGCGCAAATCCCCGCTCAACAGCAAGCTCTATGCGTTTCGTTGATATAATACACGTTGTAAAATACAATTTATCATAATAATAATAGAATCATACAGTCGTAATGTATGACAAAAATAAGAAAAAAACCGTTACGACTGTGATATAATAATAAATTGCATTTTTTTCAGCGCTCATATTATCCTACTTAAATGGGGGCTCTATGCGCTTTACGATTCTATATTGCCGATGCAAAAATTTATCCTTCCAAAATGTCCAAATGTCAATTCCACAAAAGAGGTGTTGAGACGGCTGTTGAGAGCATAGTTCTGCGGGTGAAGTTGAGTCTATAATAAAAAAGAAGTTTTATTAAGTGTTTTACGGCACTTTACGAAGTCTGTTTTCTACTTGCGCGAGAAGCAATCATTGAAATGATATATCGCTGTTGCTATTCCTGCCACTGATATTACTGCTGCTGTTTCTGTTGTCGTTGTAATGTTGTAGTCGCTGTTGTCTTGTCGTCACTGTAATGTTGTAGTCGCTGTTGTCTTGTCGTCACTGTAATGTGTTGACACGGTTGTCTTGTCGTCACTGTAATGTGTTGACACGGTT